TCTCCTCCCGCCTCCTCCCTCCCTCCTCCTCCCTCCCTCGCTCCCTCGCTCCCTCCCTCCTTCCCTCCTTCCCTCCTTCCCTCCTTCCCCCTTCCCTCCCCTCCCTCCCTCCCTCCCTCCCTCCATCCCTCCCCTCCCTCCTCCCTCCCTCCCCTCACTCCCTCCTCCTCCTCCTCCACATCCCCTCCTCATCCTCCTCCTCCTCATCATCATCATCATCATCCTCCTCCTCCTCCTCCTCCTCCACCCTCCTCCCTCCTCCTCCTCCTCCTCCTCCTCCTCCTCCTCTCCTCCTCCTCCTCCTCCTCCTCCTCCACCTCCACCTCCTCCTCCTCCTCCACCTCCTCCTCCTCCTCCTCCTCTCCTCCTCCTCCTCCTCCTCCTCCTCCTCCTCCTCCAGTGCGCTCCACTATTCCTCCTCCGCCTCCCTCCCTGCCTCCTCTGCCCTCCGCCTCCCTGCTCCTCTTCCCCTGCCTCCGTCCTCCATCTCCGCCTCCTCCTCCGCCTCTGGATATCCCGTCCCCCTCCTCGACCACCCAACCCCACATCCAACCCCCCACACGGTGCTGCTCGCGGCCCCGCGCCTCCCCGACCTCGTCGTCCTCGGCGGAGCCCCCCCACGAGCAGACGTCGTCCCCGGCGGAAGTCAGGGAGCTCGCGAGGCTGTGCCTCGGCGGCGCGGCAGGAGGCAGGCGCCGCCCCTGCCGCCACGGGGAGCTCCCCGATCGGGGGGGGGGGCCTGCTGGAATTGGTCTGCGACGGCGGCCACGACGACGGCGGCGGCGACGACGACCACGACGGCGACCATGACGGCGACGCCAGCAGCGGCGGCGACGGCGACGGCGGCGACCGCGACCGCGCCAGCGCCGGCGCCGACAACCACGACGGCGGTGGCGGCGACGGCGGGTGACCTCGGGTGCACGCGGCGTGCTCTCTGGCGAAGGGCCGTTCCTGGTTCAGGACGGCACTGCGCCTGTACGGAGTAGAGGGCGCCCGCCCTGCGCTTCAGCCCCAGACTCGACCCCTCGGGCGCGGCCTGATCGACACCTTCCATGACGAGCCAACAGCTTCCATGACGAGCCCCTCACCCGCCAGGCTCCCACGTGGCCGCCTCGCCCTCGTCTTGGAGCGAGGCGAGGAGATCGTCACAGAATGGTCAGTTTCCTGGGGGTCGGTGAGACCGCCCCTCAGTCGCAGGCACGCACCTCGCGCAGGAAGCACCACATCCCCCAGCGCCGTCCGCCGACGTCGCGAGGACGGACCCCGTCGGGGGGCAGATAGCCGAACGCAGAGCGCGCCTTGCATTTCCATCACGCAGAAGACAGCTACACACCACTGCGGCGACCTCGGCAGCCAAAAAAAACCTCACCGCACGGTCTGTCACCGCACGGTTTTGTTTTGGGGACCTAGAGGCCCCAGTTGCCCGAGACATCCTCGGAGAACGACTCGAGCCCCAAAACCGCGCGGTGACGCCGAACTGCTTCGCCACACTTTGTGGCCACCACTTTACCACGCCGCCTGGTGACCTCCGACGCTGGTCGAGAGCAGCGGTGGTGACCGGAATTGGAGGGGACTACGGCTAGGTCGGGCCTGTCCCCCTGCAGGTGGATTTCGGACGAAAAATAAAAAAGAATCAAACAAAACTCCAAGAATACACAAAAATAGTCAAAGCATCGACCCCTGACTATGTTTGGACTGTTTTTGAATATCCCCCCTGTAGAGGGACAGGCGCGACTTAAGACTACGGCGCGATACAACAAAAACGCCGACGAGGCCCAGGCCACCGCCGAGGTCGCCGGTCCAGGAACCCGCGCGGAGAGAAGCCGACCCGGGAAGCCTGGGGTTGGGCAGTTGCGTCTGTTACAGAAGCCAATATTGTGAAGGGGCCCTGGGACACACAAATAAATGGATACAAATAACAGGATTCCCCACATTTTCCCATATTTTCTGGGTGTTCATCTTCCTCCACCTACTTCCCATAGTTCCCCATATTTTCTGGGTAACCGACGATCAATTGTGTCTGTGATTTTTCCCCTCCTGATATTAGTCAAGATGTTAGTGGATCAGTGGTAAACAGCAGCAAGTTGCAGCAGATAAGGGCAGCCAACTAGTGGCAAATAGCAGCACACGCCCCGCGCCAACCGTACACTGATCGCCCGCTACTCGCTGCGAATAGCCGCCAAACGCCCCTCCACCCCGAAAAAACTGTCGGTGGAATTCCAGGCGCCTATACAAAAAAAACAAACCTCAGGGCAGGGCGCGAGGAGAGGAGCACTGGAGGATTCTTACAAATGCGTGCCAACAGAATGGCATGAACATTAAAACTCGGAGGTCCGCGCGGATTTCTCGGATCGGCGCTGAACCCCCCTCCCTGGCGCGCAGAGCGCGCCAGGGGCGGGGCCGGAGGCGCCAAGAGGGGCCCAGCCCGGATCCGAGAAATCTGCGCGGACCTCGGAGTTTTAATGTTTATGTCATTGTTCGTTCCCTTAATTACAGTTAAGGGTTCTTCTATCCTCAATGACCCTCGGCCCCCCGTAGCCCCCCGGCCGGCTTCCGGCCGCGCCGTGCCGCGCGGCGCGCGGCACCGCGTTTCGTGAGGTGCCGCGACGCCGCTCACGAGCGCACGTAGAAAAATGGGTGGCCACGACGCTCACGAGCGCACGAGTGCCGCAACGCCGCTCACGAGCGCACGAGTGCCGCAACGCCGCTCACGAGCGCACGTGCAGTGCCGCGACGCCGCTCACGAGCTCACGAGCGCACGTGGTTACGCGGCCGCATGTAGAAAAAGCGCGTTCCACTTCTCTCAGGGGGCCAAGGGACACAAATAAATAGACGCACATCCCAGGATTCACCATATTTTCAAATATTTTCTTGGTTTTCGTCTTCCCCCCCACTTCCCATGTTTTCCCGTATTTCCGTGGAAATCGACGGTTGATTGTGTCTGTGTTTTTGTTCCTTCCTGATACTCGCAAAGCAACTACTCGCAAAGGGCCCGCATCCGCCGCGGGCGATTTTCGATCCATGACATGTAGGAAGAAACGTTCTTGTTGCGCGGACGTCTGCGAGTCGGCACTCTGCGAGTAGCGGACCGCGCTCGGTGCTCATGGATACATTCCACGCGGGGCATGCGCGAAAGCGCGCACTGCATCCAGGGGGGTGCCCCGTCCGCGAAGCCGTGGATACGGACGTGTCTTCCGCCCACACGAGCGGTGCCGTGCCACGCGCGCCGAGCCAGCCGGGCCAGGCCGCCGTGCCGTGCAGCGCCAGCCCGTGCCTCGGCCGCCACAAGGCCCCGGCATTCGCGTGGACATCAGCTTGGCGTCCATCGGCTTCGCGTCAGGCTGCCACGGGGTGGAGGACCTCGTGGCCCTCGCCGCCTCGGAAATGGGGGCAGGCGGGCGCCACGCGCGGCGCCACAGGCTTCCGCCCCCTCCTCGCTCCTCATCCTCCCCCGTCCTCCACCTCAACCACCTCATCCTCCTCATTATCCTCCTCCTCCTCGTGCTCTTCTTTCCTCCCTTCCCCCTCCCCATCTTTCACTACCCCCTCCTCCTCTACCCTCCTTCCTGCATCCCTCCTGTTCCTCCTGCTCCTCCTGCTCCTCCTTCTCTTCCTCCTCCTCCTCCTCCTCCTCCTCCTCCTCCTCCTCCTCCTCCTTCTCCTCCGCCTCCGCCTCCGCTTCCGCCTCCGCCTCCGCCTCCGCCTCCGCCTCCTCCAACTCCTCTTCCTCCTCATCCTCCTCCTCCTCCTCCTCCTCCTCCTCCTCCTCCTCCTCCTCCTCCTCACCGTCCTCATCGTCCTCAATGTCCTCTTTCTCATCCTCCTCCTCCTCCTTCTCTTCCTCCTCCTGCTCGTCAGCATCAACCACTGCTTTAGGTCTGTTTGCTCTTACCTGCTCGCCTGGTCTTGACATGCACACCCCAAGCCATCGGTTCCCGCCATCTTCATCTTCGATCGCGCCCCCTGGGGGGCTTTTCTTACTCATGCTAGCCCTCGGCCGAACCCCAACGGGGCAAGACGAGCGGGTGGGTTGGGCGCGAACTCATGGAGGGGCGACGAAGGGGGGCGGGGGAGAAGGGCGCCCTCTTCGGGCCGTGGAGGCCCCCTCTTGGGCCCTGGAGGGCCCCCTTCGGGGCCCCAGAGGGCCCCTTTGCCCTCACGTGCCGAGGCGGGCGGGCGGGCGGGCCTCCCAGCGGGCGAGCCCTGGGCGGGCACGTCGGGCGCGCGGGCCCTCGAGCGGGCGGGCGGAACGGGCGGCCTCTTGCCGAGCGGGACGGGCACGGGGACGCCGATGGGCGGCGAGCGCGGGGGGGGGGGAGAAGGGTGAGAAGGAGAAGGAGAAGGAGGAGGAGGAGGAGGAGGAGGAGGAGGAGGAGTGGGTTTGGGGCGCCAGTCGGGAGTCGGAGCCGCCCGCGGCGTTGAGGCGTTTGGGAGGAGGAGGAGGAGGAGGAGGAGGAGGAGGCGGAAGAGGCCCTCTCGGGAGGCGGCGGGACGTCTCAGAAGCCCTCGCGCCTGCTGAGAGGCTGTCGGCGTCACCCGGGAGGGCCTGGGAAGCTTCTCCGAAGGCCAGGGGGGGCGTCCGAGCCTTCCGAGAAGGCCCGCCCCCTCTTGCTTCCCCCCCTTCGCTCGCCGCCGAGCCGAGGCGGGCTGGCGGGGCTTCCAGGCAAGCGAACGGGCAGGCCTGACACGGCGGGGCGGCGAGGAAGGCCCCCGCGGGAGCGCGGTTCCCAAGTGGAAGGAGCGCCATCCCCAAGTGACGTGCCAGGTTGTCCCAAGCGAGAGCGCAACTCCTGGGCAAGGTGCAAGGATGGCCCAGGCGGCGGCGCGATTCTGGAATGGATCAGAAGTATGACGCATGCAGCAGGCGCGGTGGGATTCTTGAGCAAGTTGCCAGGAAGAGCCGAGCGCGAGAGCGATTCCAGCAAAATGGCTCTGAAGTCCGGTATTGCAATCGGCGAGGACAAAAAAGGTTTGAGCCTCAACAGTTTCCCTGACAAAAGCTGGGGTGCGAGAGCCAAGGAGTAGATTCAACTGAGGGAGACACAAGACAAAGCAGACAAGGGGATCCGCAACTGCAACAATTGGAATCATCTTAAGACTGTTCGCTCTGCATTGTTCGCATGCTCTGAAGCCTGCATAATTACCCTGAGCGCCTTGTTCGTCAATCAGCATGCCCCCTTTCGGGGCTCCTCCTTTCGTGCCAGCTCCTGGGTGACCTCCGACGCGAAAAGACAGGATGGTTGGGCGGGCAAAATCCAGATGCGCGGGTCGGACGGGCGGCACCTCTTGGCGGATGGCAACTCCTGAGAGTCGACGCTCAATCGACGCTGGTCGAACCCAAGTCGACGCTATCTCATCGATTACCAGAGGCCAGCGCACGCCGGTGCACCCTGAAGATGGAGTTGCGAGGACATGCAGGGCTCCCGTGCAAAACCAACGGGCAGATCGGACGGGCGGGACTACAGAGCGGGCGGGCTTCCACGCAGTCGTGCGGGCGGACGAGCGGGCGGGGCGGCTCGGGCGGCTGGAGGACCGGGCGGATGCCCAAAAGGACCTCCTCGAGGGTTCGGGGGATCTCCCTCGCTGCGTGCCCTTCTAGAAGCCCGCTTTATGCTCATTCACGGACCTCCGACGGCTCGACTTCTTCAAAACGACGGCCTCCAGACCTCTCGACCCCTCCCCGAGACTCGCGCGCGCGTCCTCGCTGGCGGCCCCAGGACTCGGAAACGATAGTCAGAGGCCGAGACATACACGAAACGTTCCGGCGCGCTTGTTTTTTTCAAGATGGAGCTATCGCTGCTGAGGAGCATCGAGGTCGAACGAGTAACCAGGACACGCAGGCGGCCCGAAGATCTCGCAGCCGAATCTCGCCACACGGGCCGACCCCGCCCCAGACCCAAACCGACCAAGCCCCTGGCCCTGACATGGGCCAGTCTGTGCAGTGGCGTGGAGGTCTGGGCCTGGCTGCTCTCTCCCTGCGGCAGCCCACTGCCCGGGCGGCGGCGGCCTCGTCGCAGTGCGGTGCCGGCGCCATCATGAGGCCCCCCGCGCGCCCCCGGCCGTGGGCACCTGCCTCTCTCTTGCGCCAGACTCGAGCCCTGAGGCGGGCGACGCCTCTCCTCGGCGACGCGCCGAGGTGGGGAGCGGGAGGGGGCACGCCTCCCCTGGGAGGCCACGTGCGGATCGTACCCCACCGCCCCACGAAGGGGGGGGAGGGGGGGGTTCACTTCGCTGGGGGCCTCCCGAGCGAAGTGAACCCCACCTCCCCCCTCAGAGATCGTGGGGTGGTGGGGTACGGTTCGCACGGGGCCTCCTACTCTCAGAAGGCCCCAGGGCTTCTCGGGAGCCCCCCGTCCTTCGGAGAAGCCCTCCGCGTCTTCGGCGACGGCTCCGAACAAAACTCCTCGAGAGGCTCGAGTCCTCGTGGGCCTTCTGAGCAGGCCGCCTCCTCCTCCGCCATCCCCTGTGGGCGCGCCGCCGACATATCCGTACTTCTCTCCTCCCTCATCCCCCCTCCCTCCTCCCTCCTCCCAGTCTCCTTCCCCTGAGACCTGATGTGCTGATGCTATCAAAGCAGGGTCCCCCGAAGTCGATCCTTGCCTCAGAGGCCAGCTTCTCGTGCTGCACAACTCTTTGACCGGCCAAGGGCCCGGCGAGGGTCTTCCGAGGCTGGAAACGGCGAAAAACCGACCGCGGGTTCATGTCGTATCGACCCCAGCGTTGGCTCCTGACACCGCTGGGACCAGTCAATCTTGAACGATCAGCCGTTGCCGAAACCTCCGATCGCTCAACAACGACCGATTCTGGGTCGCCGGAGGCGTTCAGCGTTGAACGCCCGCGCCCGGGTCGCCGCTGGTCTACACGACGCGAACCTTCCGTACCAAGCAAGTCGTCACCCCCTGAGATTGTCCCCCCCTAACTAGAGGACTCCCAAAATTGGATCCAAGTGCAGCTTAAGAACGGGTGGTAAGGACGAAAGACCCCTGGAGGCCAAAGTTGGAATTTTTGGGACGGCGGGCGACCAGTGAAAACGGCAAAGGACGGGCCGCAGAGGCAAGGACACGAGGGTGCCCTGGATGAAGGCGCGCGTCCTGACTCTCGGCGCGTTGACTGCAGATGGGATCAGAGGGTCGCGCCGCATCGGCGATGCATCGGTGATGCATCGGCGGTGCCTCGGCGACGCCGTGCATGCGCTGCTCTCTGTGCCCCCAAGGCGTTGGAGCCCCCGTCTCTCGGCGCGGGCGGGCCTGAAGGCCCCCCGCCAGGGCGCGCCCGATGTCGCCCGTCCTTCCGGCTGGGCCGCTCGGTGGCAACTCACGCCCTCTGGGCCTCGTGAGGGGCGCTCTTCGAACGCGGCCTAGCCGAGGTGTGAGGAGTGATGAGGAGGAGGAGGAGGAGGAGGAGGAGGAGGAGGAGGAGGAGGAGGAGGAGGAGGAGAAGGAGGAGGAGGAGGAGGAGGAGGAGGAGGAGAGGAGGAGGAGGAAGAGCAGGAAGAGGAGGAGGAGGAGGACGAAGAGGATGGTGATGGCGACCCCTTCTGTGACGAGCCCCTGCCGTGACGATCCCCTCCGCTTCGAGGCTCCCCTCGGGCCGCCTGCCCGCGTCCTGGCGCGAGGCGCAGGGGCCACGGCACGGCCGGCGTCGGTCTGCGGAGGGCCGGTCAGGCCGCCTGGGCCTCCCGGGAAAGGCCGGGGCCGGCTTGGAAGCTTCCCATGCCATCTTGATTACTCTTGCGAATCGACGACAATCGGCGCTAGGCGCCAAATCGACATCCAATCGACACGGAGCGACGCGAGTCGAAGCTGAGTCGGCGATCCTACCAGACACTGATCGGCGTCAGCGCAGTCCAAGAGCGGAACTACGACGGTGCACAAGGCTCCCGTCAATTGCAACTGAAGCACGGGAGGGCACGGAGCGCAGGATCAGCCAGCATCGAATCGGTAACTCGGATCGAGTCGAAAATCTGCATCGGCTCGGGCTGCGTCGGCACGGGATCGGGATCGAATCGGATCGGCTGCGCCAGGATGCACAGCAGCTCCATGCAAGCATCGGGCCGCATCGGACCGTCGGAACATCGGAACCGAATCCGAGCGGGCCAGTCAGAATCGATGTCGAATCGGATTGATCGGATCCAAGTGGACCCTGCGGAGGAGGCCGAGGAGTAGGACGAGGAGGGGGAGGAGAAGAACGACAAGGAGGAGTAGGAGGAGGAGGAGGCGGAGGAGGAGGAGGAGAAGGAGGGGGGGGGCTGGAGAAGCTCGCTCTCGCGGAGAGCCAAAAAGGTAGGTCGGACATTGCTCGAGGTGGTGGCCCCGGCCCCAGATGTGCCCTCGGGTGCGCTCGCGCCGTGGAAACCCTGGGGACGCCCTCTGGGAGTGGTGCCTCCCTGGAAATCGTGGGAGCACATTGTCGGCGGCGAGCGAGGGGGAGAGGCTGAGAAGGAGAAAGGCTCCTCAGAAGGCGGCGGGACTTCTCAGAAGCCTTCGCGCCTTCTGAGACGTTTTTGTTGGTGGTCTTCGGTGAAGGTTAGAAAACTTCTCAGAAGGCCGGGGTACTTCCGAACCTTCTGACAAGGCCGCTCCTTTTCACTTCCCCACCTCGCTCGCCGCCGACATTGGGAGGGATGCCTCTGGCAACAACCGAGTACGAATTGGGCGCCTGTCCGTCCGCCCCCGCTGTCGTGTCTCGGTGCTCGTGCTGCTCCATACGGCCGCGCCCTGCGGCAGAAGGCCTGAGATCCGAAAGTGCACACACACATCCCCCAAGACGTGCCCAGAAAGCACTAATACCAGCAAGGAGACGGGAGACGACCCAAGGAAATGCCCAAGCAAAGGTACACACATTCATGAATGGGAGGGAATGTGACGGGCGAGCAGAGGCCCGAACGAGCAAACCCAAGATTCCCGTGGTCCAGGGCACGATCACGACCACACCGCGCAGTGAATTGAGCTCCAGCAACCAAAATACAAACCCTGGGCGAACGACGACGATGGCGACGACACCTGCTGCAAGGGGCGTTCCGTCGCGCGGGTGAGACACGTGCAGGTGGTCCGCGGGGAAAGCAAGCAGGCGCCTCTGGCAGATGGAGGGCCACGACACGACGATGGGCGGAGGCGCCGAACAGGCAGGCAACGAGCGCACATCGGGTGCAACGGCAGCTCGACCCGGGGACACGTCTCGAAGCAGACGCGCCAGACCGACGACTGGCGACAGGGGCGGTCAGGCGGGGGGGCGCGCGGGCGGGCTGTCGAATGGAATTCGCACGCGCTGATTGGACGAGTGTGGGGGGGCAACATACAGAGCCCACCGCCAAACACGGCCAACGACACTCTGGGCGGAAGGCACCTTCAGTCGGATGGGAGAGCGGGCCATTGACAGTAATTACTGCTCGGTGATGGGACAAGGATGGAAGAAAATATGATTAAACCACAGACGAGGATCGGTCAGTCGGGCGAGCGGGCGGGACATTGAATGTGTTCGGTCAAACCAAATTGGGTGAGAAGATGCGTGAAAAAATCGCGAAGACGACGACACCGACGACGCATGGACAAGACATTGAGTCGGGCGGGCGGGCGGTACCTTAAATGTAAGTATTGCTCGCTGACGGGAAAAAGGTTTAGAGACCATACATAAACCAACGACGAGCGACGGCCACAGCAACGAGGAGCGGAACGGGCGTCCAGTCGGGCGGCGAGCGGGACAGCATACGAAACCCGTTTGTCAAAATGCGAAGAATATGTACGAATACAACGACGTCTACGGAGGCAGGAACTTTCACTCGGGTCAGCGGGCGTGACATGTTTCAGATGACATGTGTTTCAGACTGAAAAAGACTTGAAACACTGACAAAGACGACGGCGACGCTTTCGGCGACAAATGGACGAAAAGTGCGCTAAGTCGGGCGGGCAATACATTAAATGCAATCCTCCACCATCAACTCCGGAGGAACGTGTAAAAATACAATTCCGACCACGACGCCGTTGTGGAGAAGGAACGCCCAACAGGCAGGCAGGCTGGACATCAAATGTAACACACACACATATTCGCAGGGCAAGGTTGAAAGATGCACGTAAACCACTGGCGAAGGCAACGATCACGACCACGACGACAACGGAAAAAAAAAAACAAGGGCGTCGAGTCGGGTGGACTGGGGGCATTCAATGTTGTTTAGCAACCCTGCGTTGGGTTCTCGTGTTGAATAGAACACTGTTGACCCCATCTCCTCTCCTTTCCTGCCCCTCCTCTCCCCTCTCCTCCGGCCCACTTCTGCGTTACCTTCTGGGACCAGGTTACCGCCAGAGACCTCAAAGAGCTGCTGCTCTGAGTACAGCTTGAAACTCGAAAAATAGTGTTTTTCAGTGTCGTCGGAAGTTGGTTCAGCCAAGTGTTTTGATGGTAATACTGCAGCTAGGAACCTGAGACTTAGACCAGCAAACACAGCTTAATCTACTACAGGTGAGAAAACCTTTAGACCCTCTCAGAATATCTGGGACGACCCTAGGTCACCACATTGTCCTTTTCGCCCCCCGTCGGCCGTCGGCGGTATGCCGTGAACCAAGTCTTTGCCGGGGACCTCGTAGAGTTCCTGCGTACACATAGTAGTGCGGATAGTGAGCTAGCTCGACCAGGTACTACCCGAGAGGCAGGGCGCCAAGGGACTGGTTCAGGTAATTTTCTGTAGTCACTCTCGGAGCTAGCGCGGAACCGTAATGCTCGGAATAGAAAGAGGGCAGTTTGTTTCAATCCGACATGTGTCCCCCAGTGTTTTCACTGGGAGCCGGCGGTAAACTGTGAGTTAGGTTACCAACGGAGACCTCGTAGAGCTCCGCACGTACATAACAGTGATATTAATGCAGACAGTAAGCTTCTCGAATGTTAGCTTGAACAGGCCAACCTCAGCTTTCACAGAATTTCAAAAATATGTGGAAGACTGCCTCAAAATTTTGGCAATTCGTGTGCAAATAAAGTTTCTCTGCTGGGTATACTCCAAAAAAATGTTTCGCAACTCACTTCCTGTTAGAACCTGAACAAAATATCCTCTTCTCTTTTCGAGCTGATATTCGGGACTTCAGTGCGATGGCGGGATTCTGGCGCGGGGTG